TCAAATTTTTCTATTATAATATATTTTTGACAGCTTGGAAAGAGGACCTTTCCAGGTGATAGATTTTGCTAGCACACACACTGTAGGTCCTAGCTATAGGCGGACTCTAAGATTCAATTCCAGGCAGCGTGTGTCTCGTAGCCAGTACAAAAGCTATATCGTCCACAAGCATCCGCATATATGTACTACATATATCCACGGGTATGCCAGATAGCCCCCACACACACTCTCTCGCAGAAACTGACTATATTCAGATCGGTTCAAACTCGCGGATGAAGTGAACTCGAGGCGCGCAATATGTCGCTGTCATTTTGGGGACATGTTTGCATGTGTGTCGCACCGAGAGTATCTGTGTGTTGGGGCTGCGTGTGCTGTGCCTCGGTGTGTGTGAGGGCAAACGGGCGTTCGTTTTTGAGGTCTGGTCGATGTCGGTGTCGGTGTCGATCGGTCGTTCAGTCACTCAGTCGGTCGGGCGCTTGGCATTATCATTTTCAGTGTTGCTTTTATTTTTAGATGCGCGCAAAAAAAAAAAGACAACAACAAACTGCAAGTGTCTGCGTTTGCCAGTGTGTGTGTTTTGTGTGTGTGGCTGCGCCAACGCTTCGATATTGCTTGGAGGTGACTGACTGAATGAATGACAGACTGACTGACGAACCCACGACATTTTTGACATTGTGACAAACAGCGTCCTAAGGCAGTGGGGTCTACTTTCAGACAAAGATCTATCAAATGAAAGGTAAAGGTTTTCCAGAATGGGAAGAGATTCATGGATGCAACTAAGTCCAAGAAACGGACTTGCAATACAGGTTTCCTTCTTTTAACGATTAAAATATATAATATAATATCATATCAATCTCAAAAGTTTAAATACAAATTAGACAAAGGACCAAAAAAGTTTAAAAAGTAAACATAGGCATCTCTAGCAATACGATGAAATTAATCTATCATGAATAAATGTGCTTTGCTATTTAGAAGAATTATTGTTTAGTCTATAAGATTTATCACAAACTTATTAATGTTATAGGAAACATTGTTAAAAGTTTGGTCTACAATCAAGATGTTTATCTCAACAATAAACATTTTTCAAGGCAAAAAAGAGAATGATGAGTATATTGACCTCAAAGCGGTACTACTTTAGTCAGCCTGAATAAACTTAGATAATGTATTGAGAATGCGATCAAATATTTCCTTTTCCTCGAGAAATGATTGGTTTAAAAGCCAAATAAATTTCAGTATCTGATACATAATTCAAATCCAACATAAATCTGCCTGACTTGAACTCTATTTCATTTCGCTTTCACATCAACACCTTATTAGTAATCCGCACCCATCTTGCTCCAAAACCTAATGGAATACATAACCGAAAAAGAAAGATTACTATGCTCCAGTGGTTGACAGTTTAAGAACGTGTTATCCCCGATAATTTGTCTCTGTCCAAAATGTGCATTGCAAGTTTTTCCCATTATATTTTAGATGTTGGGATGTTGGCCTGCTCCCTGCTGGAGACGCGTGTTGGCAAACGAGTCAATTGGTATGAACTGTCGAACTGCCTTTTTTTTAGCATCTGTCGCCGTCTCTCTTTCTCCGGCCTGCGATTTGGCCAAACTCCGGTGATCGTCCCACACACAAATGCGGCCGAGACACGGGCAATACTTCAACACACCTTGACTTGCCCCTCATCAGCCAAGCTGGCGGCGGCATTCTGTGGTATCTCTCTTCTCTCCAAGTTGTCAACTGTAGTCGCTGTCATTTTATTTTATTTTATTTTACTTTATTTCTTGTGAAAGATACTGCGCCCTCTCACCTCTTCGATCCGCCTGTTATGTTTTTTCGAGCTCGTTTTTCTTTCTTCAGTTTTTTGCTCACATATTTGATTCATTGATGTACTGCGTGGATGTCGTTTGCTGTATGGGATTTTACTTATATGTTGGCTCGAGAATATATGGCCTACACCCTGGAAAAAAGTTCATTTTGAGTCGAGATCAATTACAGTTGGTGGAGATAAGATTGTGATTTAAGGACATACATATATTGGACTTTTTTTTAATGAAGTTTCGTTGTAAAAGAAATTATTAAAATAATTACTTCCCAGTGACTTAATATCTGTTATTTATCAAAATGAGAATATTACGAGTTGCAATCAAAAATAACAGCCGGTGATAACTACTTAAGCAAATATTGCAATCGGAAATGTGTCAAAAACAACAAGGGGATAACACTTTGCGCCATCAAGCTATCAAAATACATCAAGTAGCGAAGGTATCAGCAAACTGTGCAATATATTAGTGCAAACTCGGCCTGCAGCTAAGCTATTTAATCTTATTAAGATACGTTCTGATACTTATTTGTAGAAGTTTCTAAACAATCCAAAATACACTCTATTCGAACGCTTTGTTCCTGCGCATATCTGGCGGATAAATAGATACATCTCTTATTATATTTACCTATTTATCTAACCGAAAGTTTGCTGTCATTTGACTTTTTGCCTGGCTAACACATATACACGGTGCTTATACCGCATATAAGTATGGGGATCTATATACAACTGAGCAGCAGCAGAAATGTATCTCGAACGGGCCAGGCCAGGGCAAACCAGGCTGCCTTTTGTTCTTCTTGGCAGTTCGGGGAATTTTTTTGCGCTCAAGCGAACTTGCAAAAGATCACAGACCTTCTGACCTCTCGCTCTCTCGCCGAGCGCCCTGCGAACAAAAATATTGTATGTGCGAGCTGAAAAAAACCGAGACCTGAGTTGGATTGGGGCTGCCAGAGATACAGATACCGAAGTACCAACACACAATATATGCATGTCCCCTTTGCCTTTGGCCCCCAGTCCCCACCACTGGCCCCATCATCCTCATCCCGATCCGCCGATGTCGTCGCCGTCGGTCGCAGAGTTCTAAAAATATTTCGCCGCCAACTCAGGTCGCCGGTCGTCGCCGAGATCTCATCCCGTCATGGCCCGGTCGCCTCCGTTCGCCTTTTTGGTCTCGTTTTGGGTTAAGTGTGCGGATCTCGCATCTGCAGGCTGGCTATATATATATACATATATTATTGTATATGTATGGGACCGTACGCGTCCGCACATATAGAGTTATGTATATAAATTTCTTAATATACCCTGGCCCAGAGAGTATTACCATTGGGGCTCAAAAAGTGGAGATATAAGGATAAAAAATGATACTCAAAATTTCGATTATAATATTTTAGTAAGGTCTTAAAACACAAAAGGAAGTAACAGACAAGCAAATCGCTTCATTTGATCTTTTATAATTTTAATAATTTTTTTAGAGGGTATCTGATTCTTCGAATTCAGAAATCTTATCCATTTGACGTCTGCGGGATCTTGAGGTTGCTGTGCAGGTCGTCGTCCAGTTTTGATCGAAATCGATTTCCATTTACATTGAAATTTGTCGTCTCTCGATAAGAAAAGTTCTGCCAGCCTTTGGGGGTGAAAAACAAAAGAACACAACGATCTTTTCATTAGAATAATGCGATATGGGCAATTAATATGCATATGTTTCCTATTCGACCGTTTGTTGGCTTTGTTGCGAAGTTCAATCGAACAACAACTGGGCAAATACGAAAGTGCAACGCAACACCGCCCGGCGAACAACTGCAATATGCCTGTCCACCCCCCCGACCCACTCTCACTCCCACTGCCACCCACTGCCTCCCACTTTACCCTCGCTTTTTCGAGCTGATTGACGAGTGACGAGGCCAAAGTATCAAATGGCCAGCGACGACACAGATATGCCTCCGTTTACAAACAAAAACTGAGGCAAAAACCACTACATGACTTTAAAAAATAAATATATTTTGGGGATTTAGTAATTTTGCTACATAACTTATAACACTATTTCCGAGTTGATAAGCGTAATATAAGATAATTTAATATTCCAAGACTCTTTGTGCATACATATATGATATATCCTTAAATTTAATTTCCTTTCCAATTCTTAAAGTTTATTTCAATTTTTTTGCTGTGCAGTTACAGAACACGCCCACACTTTTGTTATTCACCAGCTCCAGCCCCGACCCTCGACTCCCTGATACCCCTAACCCTTTTCTTCCCCCCTTTCTGAAGTTGTAGAATTACTGTTGTCGTTCTCCATGACTTTATGGCGTTCTCGTTCCATCGTCTCGCCAGCTCATTTCCCCCGCCACTTGAACTCTGACCAGCTGACCTTCGTGAACCCTCGTCGCTGTGTGTGGTTATGTGTGCAGTTCAAAAGTGGGGATCTGAGCGAGAGGGTCAGGTGGGGCTAAAGAAGAGACTCATTGCGCTGCAGAGCATGACACACAGTGGACACTAATCAGTATTCTGTTTGGAGAATTTACCTCTCCGATAAGGTCATAAGATAATATATATTAGCTCTTAACAAATGTATTTCTCTCTTCTCTTCATTAATAAACTATTGTAAAGACTTACGAAAATACCTCTTAATATATTTATGCACCTGTTTAATTTGCAAGAACTCACTGTACTGATAAAGCGACCCTCTCTTAAGCTCTCTTCGCTCCGTTTGTTTTGCTACACAGCTGATTTTCCGGCTCTTTGATGCTTTTTCTCTCTTTTTCTCTGCCTCTTGAGCTTGCACGTGTGTGCTTTTAGCGGCTTGGGGCATTTGTGGTTTTGTTGTTGTTTCTCCGATTCTTCGCTTTTCCTCTTTATCTCTTCTCCTTAATTTTTGTTACCCAGTAGTCGTAGAATGGGAGGGAATGCCGGCTCGTCGGTATGACTGAATGAGTGAAGCGTAGCCCATGATATGGGTCCATTATACATATGTTCAAAATACTCAAAAAATAAAATAAATATATATTTAGTAACTTTTATTATGTCATATTCATTTGGGTAAAAAAGTACACAGTACTTGAGAACTATTAAAGACTACGTGTAACAGGATATCCCTTAGTCGATTCACTCTCCGCCGTTGCGTTCTTTCTCGTTTTTGTTTTCGTATTTCTATTTGTTGGGGGGGCGCTCTCGTGCTCTTTCGAATCGGTGTTCAGTACGATTTCGTTCGTGCGGCGGTCAACGTGAAAAAAGCTCGAGATCTGCGGCACTATCAGTGATCGACAGTTGCCCGATCGACGATCCACGATCCGCGATCAACGATCCCTAACCCAAGGCGCGCGTAAATACAGTACGAAATCGTACTTCTCACATTGATAAAAAGTACACACAAAAACGAGTGACGAGAAATTAAATTGTGTGCGGGCGTTGTGCAAAAAATGAAAGATTGAAAAAGTGTAAATCATATAAGCGTAACGGTAACGGCAGGAGAAAAAAGTGCACAGAAACGTCGCAACTAATCCCAACTAAAAATACACCGCACAGCAGATAAAAGCACAATCTCGCGGCACTCGCGGATTTTTATTTTTAGTTTTTACAACGAACTCACGTGTCTAACGACATTTTGACAGCCGAGATACAAATCTCTTCTTTGGTTTTTATTTTTTGCGAGAAGCCTGCGCACGTGACCAGCCATTAATGAATGAGACACTAGAGATAGAGAAAAGCCTAGAGGTACAGGGTAAAGTGAGAGAGCGCGACAAGTGATAACGCCGCGAAGAAAGAAATCCCGAAATCTTATGCAAATATCGAGAGCCACAAAAAAGTGAAACGCAAAAAATCAAGTTTAAAAGTCAAGAGTCACAAACAAAATTCAATAAACAATGCTTTGAAAGTTCAAAGCTACAAAACAACAAATGTTAATTGTGCAAAATATACAAAAGTATATTAGATTATCTCTCCCGAAACCAAAAGCGGTAGAGTGAGTAAAATAAGCCAAAAATATTAGGTGCAAACAAGTGGCTAAGACTAGATTGCTTTCAAGAATATCTAATTAATTAGTTTAAATATGAATAATTGACGGAATAATAATAATCCTATTCAAACTGAAAGTGACGAATAATATTGGAATTAAAATCCCGGCTACACTTAAACGCTTGACAATTTGTCAAATATTCAATTAGTCAGTCTGCCACTTCACTTAGTTAGTCGAACGGCTAACAATAGACAATTGTTGGGGCAATCAACGTCGAAACAATCAAAAAGGTAAATTCAAATTTCAATTTGAGTTTTGAGAAAAAAATAAACACAAACACACTCATAAAAAAACATTAAAAGAAATAGATACCGAAACCTAAACGAGAAACAAATGCATAATATAAATGCAAAAGCTGTTTAAATATTTGATAGCCAACGGAGAGCGACCTTAAACTTTTCTTTTGTTTCGTTCCAAACAGAAAAGGTTAAAGTTCCGATACAGTTTTAGCCAGGCACATCGAAACAAGTTTACTTTTTGTCATTTTTCTATCGTTTTTTTAGATCAAGTTTTGACGAGACTTTTGATCTTGAAGTTGGAGCGACCCTAGCTTGTAAACCTAATATTAAACTATACTAAAGCTTTTTTTCTTATAAATAAAATATTAGTTGATCCTGAACCCATTTAAAAGACTTCTTGATAACTTCATATTTCGTATTATCATATCTGTGAAGAATTAAAAAAGCTTACTAATAATTTATTATTTAGCGGAAGTTTTATGGTCTGTCAAAATCTATTAAGGCCGTCGTTAAAATTGATTGTATAAGATATGGCAGCTAGCTTAAAAGTATTAAAATGTTATTATATAACTGATTAATTATGTGCGTTTATGGTTATAAAGCACATTCTTATGGTTTATTTATCTCTTTTATCATAAATTACAGAACCAAAAATTAGCCACCACTGCAATTAATATAATTTAATTACTAAAATAACAAAAAACTTACAAACACTAATGGTGAACCTTAAACAAAAAGTAGCAACAAAAAGCAGTCATTGCAGGTACAATTTGACAACCAGCAAATTAATTAAGCAAACACCCAAAGCCAAGCTAAATGAACACATACGAAACTACCACATAAAGCCAACTACAAACTACCAATGATTACCACCGGGGCCTGGTGGACAATGCGAACAGAGATAAATTAGCAGCATAAATGGTCAAGACAACTGAAACGGCTAACAAAACCTGGCAACTTAATTGAAGAAGTGGTCGAGCGTAAAGTGTTAAAATAACTCTATAAGCCCCATGATTTGTCTTGGCCGCAAGTCTCTCTTTCTCTTTCTCTCTATTCGTATTTTGCCCACTACAGTATTTATTTATTTATTTTTTATTTCCTGCCTTCACTTTACTTGCAGCAGCCAGCAGTGTGACAGGAACAGCCGCGGATCGCCACACAGAGAGGGCAAATCGAGTCGGTTTGACAATATGTTGAGCCCCCATAATGAAGGAAATTGATACGGAGACAACAGTAGTATGGCCAGCCTGGTGTTATTCCGGTAAGTCGTCTCCGAATATGCCTCTTCTCCCCTCTAAACTTCACTCGCTTCCCAACTTCATGGCTTTATGACAACAAAAGCTGTTGAAAGTTCAACTATCGTTTTACGGTATTACTGCTGAGCGGTTTTTTAATACCCTATAGTTATGGGTGGAGTTGGATAACAGGTGGTGATCGTGTGATATGTTTTAAAAATCGATTGATTTTAAAACTGTATCAATTGTGTATGTTCTCTAAAGACGTACAAATCATGGAGGTTTCTATATTTTTTTTAAAGACCCAATGAACAATTTGTATTATTCTACTGTAAAGTAAATAGAATTGGTTATATACAAAAAAAAATATATATAAATTGTAGAGGATTCGAAATCTATTTAATATCATATAAGTAATACGATATTAAAAATAAAATAATAATACATCTTTTTTTAAATATTTCTTGATGCTTATGAATCTGGTTTTAGATCGTTTTATTGATAGTGAAATCTGGAATATGCTTCAAAAATATGTCTTGCATATTTTAAGTTCTGTTATAAAACGATCTATCTTATAATTTAATAAGAACTTCTCCTCATATCCGTTGGCAACTTTAAATTATGCATAGTTTCAGACCCCCAAAATCAATCTAAACCTCTAATTGAAACTTATGACTAAAAGGGTATCTCAAAAGTTAACCTAATCCCACAATTTTCCTCCGGCATTTCTATTTGTTTTCATTTATTTTATTTGTTATTGTGTATGCCTTACTTTTTTGGGTTTATATTTCCCAGTGGTCTGTGCGCTGAAAGGCCGTTGGCCATTGTGCCTTTTGTTGGCAGTGCGCTGTCAACGCCTGAAAATGAGTTACTGGTCAGTAGTAGTAGTGGAGTTTGTGGCCTACTGTTTCGACTGCTGCTGCAGTTTATGATCAAACGATTTTGTTTTGCCTCTTTGGGGCTTGTATTTTTATTACCACTTTTTTTCTCCGCGCCTGCCGTAAATTTGTCTCAGCCAGACCTTTGCCTTCGTTGTTTCTGTTTTCTTTGGTATTTTAACATTATTTATGGGCGTGAGACATTTTTCTGCTACTCTGTGATGGATTAATTAGATTGAGCAGTGTTTGTCCATTTGGTTTTCTTGATGTTTCACTTGCCGGACTGGCCGTCGTCAGGTACATATCTCAGCAGCCATGATGTCATGGCTCCCCGTATCTTGGCTCACCTTTGACTTTTGCTTTGGCTTTGGTCACTCGCAGTTAGCATGCAAAAACGAGAATTTCTGTTCGACATGCACATTGTGAAACACAAAAAGTTATATATGTACACAAAATCAGTAAAAAGTAAAAGGCAGAACTGAAATGATCGAACAGTCACCCAAAAACCGGAGAGAGAATTGGGGGTTTTTAATGACGTCAGTTAAAGTTGCACAAGCTGCTCACAATAATAATTATTCGCTTAACCTATTGCTGTGATTTTATTATTGATAAATTAACTGATTTAATCTTTTCTCTTATGGCTACATCTCACAAATCCACATTTCTTTATAGCATGCCTTCTCACGAACGAACATCGGATTTCGGGGAATAAAATTTTAACATAATAATGCTAATTACTACGAGTGCATGCCTGTATTAATTTCTGAGATCGATTAGCATTATTCTCTTTTAACTAAACTGGAATAAACTCAAATATTTGGACTTCCTTTTAATGGAGAAAATTGAATTAATTGGAATATTATTTTATTTATATAGTAAGAAAAGAGTTAATCTCTTTTATTTTTTTAAACTGTATCTTTCCATTCTCCACTCGCATTGTCAACCTTTTGACCATAAAAAAATCGTTCCAAAACCGCTCCCAAAATCGGCGAGTTCATCGCATATCTCAGTGCGGCAAATTAAGCATTCAGCATGCAAATTTTCATTAAATAAAAGTAAACTCCCCGTCCCAAAATAAGAGCCAGCCGCAATTTCAATGCGTCCCTCGATTTGACTTGACTTTGACCGGCTCCTCCAGCACCAGCTCCCAATAAGGCTGAAAGGGACGGTGGAGGGACAAATGAACGCCCAAATGGCCGACAAGTGGCGATAAAAAACAAAACGAAAAAAGAAAATATATATATAAGAAACGTATCGGGCTGCAGCAGCTTTAAAATAAAAATAATCAAAAATAAAAAATAAACAAGCAACTGATGCCGAACAGCGGCGAAGACGACGTCGCCGATGATGATAATGATGAAAAAGATCGCTCGCCGGGCAAAATTAAAATGCAAAACGAGTCAGCACCGAGGTCCCAAAGCGTCGGGAAGTCGCAGAGAAAAGGGCAAGCCTCGTCGTCCATCCAATACAGAAGCGACCCGTTCGCATCTCGGTTGCGGCCAGGCCAATACGAAAGTCCACCAACAGTGGAAGATCGGGGAAGGAAGATCTATTGAAAAATGCATTAAATATAAATCAAAATTATGAATATATATAATATTTCTTCTATTAATGAACAATATTGTTAGTTTTGATTAGTATATATTTAATAGTTTTTAAGACAAACGACTTTGATAAAGATCTATATTCTATAAAAGCCAAGAATCACCATGGATATCAATAGTAGTATCCAGATTCTGTCTGCTCTAATTCAGACTTATTTAAAGATGGCTTAACTTTGATTTTCTTTATTTCCAAGAGGGATAACTTTATTGAGAGGCCTCACTGTACCCCCATAATATCAATATGAGCCGCCAGAGCTGCTGGCAAAGGTTATAATGCATCTCCATCGCCGCTGCCGTCTCGAGGCGTCGTTCTTGTTTGCCTTTTGCGCTTTTCACTGGTTGGCACTCGGCTCTCGGTTCGCTGTTTATGCCTTTTTTTTTGTTTTTGCCTGACTTGACTCCGAAACCTTTGACGCGAACTTATGCCCTGCGAATGGCCATGGAATGTTGACTTGCTGTCTGTCTGCGGCCGAGAACGGCGACTGGGAATGAGTCGCAGTCAGGCAGAAATCAGAGGGAGCGCAAGATGACGACGATGAGGTCGGGGTAATAAGAAGCTTTACAATTTTAACAAACCCGATCTGTGGATACGCTTTGCTTTGATTATCAAAGGGGAGTTTAAAATAATTATGAAAATATTTTAAATATATCTTTGTATACCCAAGATAAATAGCATCGTCATTTGTTGATATATTATTAAATCTAAAGTAGTTTTATCAATGAAAAGTTCACCCAAAATGTTAAGAAGAAAACCTATTTTGAATATCCTTTTCCCCACATTTCCCTTCTTGGAAAGGGCATCTATATCTTGTGTGTGTGTGTTTGATGGATCGGTTAGGTCTGCTATATGCTTTATATGCCGATGGCGTGCAGTGAGTCGCCAATGACTTCCCTTCCGCTCGTTCCTCCGTTGGCTAAGGCAAAAGGCATCCTCGTATTTTTTATGTGTGCTCAACTTTGCACTCGGAGCAAAGTCAAAACGACTTGGGACACGCACACTTGTTGCTCTTTGGCACTGGAATTGCCTTACGTGGCATGCTCGTTGCACGTTGAACGTTCCAAGTTGCACATTGCAATCTGCCGCTGCTGCTGCACTTATTTATTGTTTGTTGTTGCCGTGGTTATGATTTGCGATTTTTTTTTCCCGCATATCGATGGCCACTTGGGCCGCGTCCCCTCTCTGCACCCCGGTCACCTCAATCCCAATCCCGATCCCAATTCCGATCCCGATCCCTCTTAGCACGGTAGCCGCCGCAGGGCGCAATTATGCCACTTGTCGGAATTTCACTCAGACTCAAGTCGGCGGAGAAGAAGAGCAGATAAAGCCAACGTTGCGCCGTCGCAGTAGCTCTCTCTATATATCTTTGCCTTTTTGTTTTAGTACAGTGGTCACTACTATTAAAAATTGCAAGTTTAGTTCAAAATGTTGTGTACTTAAATTATTCAGATGGGCATAAATCTAAAATAAGAAAGAATATTATTTCAATTTTAAGCCTGTTAAATTTTAAAGTAATATACATAGATTTTAACATTAAAATTTTCAAAACTGTTTGCTAAGAATGTTACTTTTCAAGGAGTCTTACCTGTAACCAGTACTGGATATGTGCAGATTTAAATTCATTTGTTTTGTTTCTGTTTCGGTCGCAGCTTGCGAGCCTAGAATCGCAAATGAGCAAAACGTGTAAATTATACGCGTCGCGGTCACAGCCCAAAGCAAATAATATATAAAAAAAAAAAAAAAAAAAAACATATAGGAAAAATTCCGCCTGGCTGCGACCCAATGAAGGTAAGGACCGAAGGTATACACATACTCACCCGGTACAGCGACACTTGTGTACGATTATTGGCTGCCACTCGAGTCCGAGTTCGAGTCGAGTTCTGTCAAAGTCGAGCTCTCAGCTCAGGTACTGTCACCCAGTGTGTTCCATGGGCTTGGGCTTTAGGGGACACACCCGCACAGCCAGACAGACTGTTATTCATCAAACAGCGAGTTAGAGAAGACAAAGAGTCATGCTTATCGAATTCTACATATTTTTAATAGAATATTTTTAATTTTTAGGTACATTTATTTAGATTAAATTTGTTGATATAAATGTATTTTAACCTTAAAATGTTCACTTGATCAATACTTAAATATTTTCCTTTACATCACCAACTTTGCACCGCCTCCCATTTCGATAATGCCCTTTAAGCTTGGCTTAAAGGTTGCTTGGAAATTCTTTTCTGGACAAAATGCCCCATACTTTTAGACCTATAGTAAAATGTATTACAGAAATTTCAGTGGGAGAAATGGAGGTCTATGTACTTAATCTTTCACAAGTCAGCGTTTACTCATTAGGGTCAGACTTTCAATTGTCGATGAGTCTTGTTCCCAGGTACTTTAACTGGCAAAGAAAATAGGGAAATTAGGGAAATTATATACTCTTCTAAAGCTGCCTTTCGATAGAGTATAAATATATTTTCCTATAACCTTTTTTTGATAAATCAATGAGTAGTGTAAGCTTACTTAAAGTTCGTTAAAATTTTTTTAACAAAAGGCTAGGT